CTTTATTGCGTTATAAGTGTTTTTTATACAATCGAAGAATATTGTAACATATAATGATATTTTTTATGAATAAAATTACTTGTTATTTTATGGTAGTATTAATATTCAACATAAAAATGAAAGGACTGTTTTTCTAATTATATTCGAATAAAATAAAAGTTGTCAAAACTAGCCAAGCTTATATATACCTTTTTTCTCTAAACATACCGGAGAGTTTTAAAGAAAACTCATAACGTCCCACAATAGTACCTTCTGGGTAGTGTGGAAATTTAATTATAAATATAAAACTCTTTTTTTTTTTTTATTAGAGCACTCTACGTCCGGCTCCTTTAATAAGGGCACTACTATGGGCACTTAGCACTTGGGAGAAGGAAGGGAAAGAAGGCCTCCCATTACTGGGAGGGGGGTAGGGGGATATTAGGCAATTTATGCTGCGGTAAGGTCGCCTCAACCCTTCTCGAGGAGCATTGCGTGGTGAAAAAGCACATGTGAAAAATCACAGAGGTACTAGCTTGAAAAAGTCGCACTGGACAGGAATTGAACCCCGGTCTTCTGCGTGCCAATCCACGACCTAGCCGACTGAGCCACCACGCGCTCTATAAATATATTACTAATGCTTAACGATGTAGATCGAAAACTCTTCTTTCTCACAAAATTCTGGGCACCAACCTCTCCCCACTAACAGATGAAATTTAAGAACTCTCCTTTTATGTTAGAACAGTAGGGGGTTGGCGCTAGGAGCGCGCAGGGGGGCGAAGCCCTATTTATTTATATATAAATATGTTGTTATTAACTGCGTTATTTATTTCTTGAACGTGAACTTCTTTTAATATCTGATCTTGTAATACTGGTGATGTATTTAGTACTTTGAGCATCAGGTGTTATTCGGTAAGCCCTTAAACTTAGGTAGGCATACAACTGCTTGTTTGTTGTTTTTGTAGTCAATAATAAATATATCAGCCCTTCATATAAAGCCATAGCTTTACTTGTGATACTTGTTATTTTAACTGTGTAGATAATAAGTGAGAAAAAAGTCTGTTTTTTTTTTTTTTTTTTTTCTTATTTTTCAAACAATTAAATGAGATAGCTGATTTAAGCTCATAAAAATAATTTCTTATTTAATGTTTTTATTAGCATTGAAGATAATAGTAATATGTTTTGAATGTGAACTAAGAACCGAATGGCCTAGAATTATACGAACTATTAAATTGTTAAATAAAAGAAACGAAGCATCATTATTTGTGTGGGACTTCTTAGAATATGTTGTTACTCATAGAACCCCACTCTATATAGAAATGTTGCCTTTCATAGTTTATAAAATTGGACAAGCACCTATTTCTGATCATGAACGGAATATGCAAACAATTATTAAAGAAAAAATAAATGGTTATGGTGTTATTGTTCCTAAGTCCAGAGGAGCACTGCTTACTGATCTTGTGCATGAATTAGAAAAACTGAAAGAAGACATGGAAAACTGCAAGAAAGGTAGGCTTCTACTTCTTATTCCTTCAAATAATGTACGTACATAAAACTTATAAATTTTTAAATGGATTAAAAGTAATATGAACAGGTAACATTAGGTAATAATGAAAATAGTTGCATTGGTTATTGATTTCGTGGCTGATAACTCAAGTAACATTTATGTATAGCTCTCATAAGACCAGTTTTTATGATATAATTGTCTAATGTTTTATTAACATGAAGCAGAAAACTACAGAACAATGTGCCTTTAGACATAGCTGTATCTCAATCCTTATCGTTTATGAATACCTGTTTGATTTTGTAACGCAGTAGCCAAAAATCCTTATTCTAGGAAGTTCTAGGTAATTAATCGATGTATAAGATCGTAATGTGGATTTACTTTGTCTTTATGCTACAGTAAAAACAGAGCTGTCATATAAATTCTAATTTTAAATGCGTGAAACTCTTCTATAGTAAGCTTAAATATTGGCTCTGTTTGAAAATTGGTTCATCTAAGGGCTAATTACTTTCACCGTTTAAGTGTATTGTAAGTTTTTTAAAGAACTAAGATAATTGTCTTCAAAGCGATTATTTAAGAAAAAATATCACTGGCCTACAAGAAGCATAAAAAGGCAATATAGCTCTCTTTTTTGGAAATAAGTCGATAATGGATTAATACAAGTACCAACTAAGTAGTAGTTTAACACTTTTTTTTAACACAAGAGCATGTTTTTTTGTTGTTAAACAGTTTTTATGAAATTCTTTTCAACTGACATCTAGTTTTATCAGTATGTATAGTAAGATGTCGATTATACATTTTGTCACTAGTAAGTTTACTATTGGTTGGATGATATGGCATATAATATTAATTACTGCCTACAATAGATAAATCTTTTACTTTTTTCCATCTTTTGGTTTTATCATATTTTTTTTTTTTTTTTTTGCTTATTTCTCCATATGATTTTTCTTAAATTTATTTATTATATCTTTATCTTCTAAATTTTTATTTTTTATGTATTTAAAGTGTTTCCATCTTTTCTTTAAGGGTTGTAAGTCCAATATAAATCTGACTTATAAAGTAGGGCACACACTGCTTTTTTCATAAATCTCTTTCTAACTCTTTCCTAGTAGTGGCAGCTTTAGCACCAATACAATAAATTTATGGTTGCAAGACTGCATTTAACTTTGCTCTCAAGCTATTAAAAATAGTTTGAGGTTTAACATGTAATACTATTTAATGGTAGTATTTATTAAGACTTACGACAGTACTCAGAAGAATCACACCATCAAAAAAGCAGTTATTGTTCTGAGTCTGAATATAAACTATTTCATGTACTAAGCCTACTTATATTTTTAGTTTATTGATCCTAAACAGAATTATGGAGTTACTAATTTTTTTATGAGACTCATTACTTGTTAAACAAATACCTTAATACAGCATATTTTATACTTCTCTCCTTTGTATAGATGATAAATGTCTTTATTTAAAAAAATAGTACTAATTAACATTGTATGAGTAATTATTTACACTGATTTGTCATTAATCCTTTAGTTACTTCAGTATTATGTTAGGCATACGTATGAATATTGAATTAAGTAACAGCTTTAGTCACTACTAATGGATTACTGATAAGAATGGCTAATACAGATATATCTAAAAGTACACAACTGACTTATTAGCGTTAGCAGAACGCTGAACGTTAAATCATATGTATATTTATTTAACATAGTAAAACAGAATTGCAAGACAAAGACTTTTTTAAGGCACTTATTTTCTAATCCTCGTTTTGTTAAAAGTCTAGTGGTTGGATCACTCGCAGCTTTTAACTTTTTAGTTATCATTTCTGACTTACTTATAGTTTAGAAACTTGTTGTTGACAAAGTGACAGAGCATCTGAAGGCATCTTTATTGAGTGGACAATAAGCATGTATTTACAGCCAATAATGCGTTCTACAGTAAGTATATGTATGATTTGTAAAGAAATTTTAGTGATTTTGTATTTCGTTGGTATAACCAAAAAATGTACAAGTAGTTAAGAAAAAATTCTCGTTCGTAAATAGGCTCTACAACCAGTCCTAGGTTTAAATCTTAATATACGAACCTTGAGAATAACTACGGATGTATTTTAAATTTAAAAAAATGTATCTAGAAACTTGTTCAGTAAAACCTACCTTAATTATGCGTGTATTTCCATTTGTGTTAAAATAAGTTAACGTTTTTAAGGATATAGTGGCTTGGACTAAAGGCAGTTAATACTAATGAACCAAACACAGTGATTAGAGTAATGCAAGTACGACAAATGTACTCAAAATAATAAGCTAATCAAGGTAAGCTTACGAAGTTTATATGCTACTTCGCACCATAGTTAAAATAACTAATTTACGTTAAACATAGTAAATCACGCACTTAGTAAGTAAGGTAGAAAGTGTCACAGATTTTTAACATTTAATAAAGGCCAAGCAGAGGATGATTAATCTGAAGTCTAAGGCACTTCAAACATGGTGTGTGTACGATCTCCTGTTTCCTGGAGCTCGATAAGCTGAAAATTCCGCTCATGTAGTAGGTGATCATTTTTACTCATAGCGTACCATTGACGTACATAACTGTAAGTGATATGTGCTAAATTTGCTATGCAAAGCAAAACTAAGTTATCGCAAAGTTCGTTTATATTTTTAGCAGATTTTGCTTGAAGATCATTTAGAAATAACAGTAGTGAGAGAAAGCTTCCAAAATTATTAAAAAGGAAGAGAGTAAGATATGAAAAAAAATGACTGGTAGCACATAAAACTAATATTGTTACATTTAAAATCGTAAATAAACTTAGAAATAACCACGTTGTTTTAAAGTAAGCTAAGTGGATGCAAACAAATGGTAGTTTTTAGCCAGGGTAAGTACTAGGCCCAAGGGACTCCTTGTACTTGCCCTGGTTAGATGCGCACCAGATGTGAACCCATTTTTTCCTTCTGAGGGGGCACTAAACGTCCAAATGTGGAAAAAATCGCCAAAAGTAGGAAAAATTTATTCACTTCTCAACCTCATAGTCCTACATAGTTCTCCATAATAGATCTCCATAAAGTAGAAAAATATTTGTAAGCATAGGGCACAGGTAAAAAAGTAGGAAGGTTAGAACTATGTTGTGTTTACAAATATCTGCACAAAAAACAGTAAAAGATCTCTAAGAATTATACTAAACATACATCTACACCATTATAATGAAATAAGCTTGTAAATTTTAATTAATCTTATACACGTTAATATATTTTTGACTTGATTGTTAAAGTGTGAGCGGCTTACACTCGATTATTCAAAATTATAATAAGACTGACTTAGAGACTCCTTTTATGAGATACAAATTTTTTAAAATTTTAGCTGTTATCGAATGATTACCTTTCCTTTATCCAAAGTCAACATTTGCTTGATGCAGTCAAATAGTTATTATTTTGTTTATTAGTATGCTAAATAGTTATAATATCTTAACGACAGTTACTTACTAAAGTCTTACTTTTTAAGCTTCAATAAATTACTTTTTTTGCATTTATGTATTTTCATCAGCTATTACATGATACGTACCATTAGATTTAATAAATCCTCCACATTTGCTATACTTCTGATCACTTGATTGAATAAAAGATTCTAAAAGAAAGAATTTAATGCTTTTTGCTTATCTACTATTGATAATGCAAAATATTCTTGAACTCTAAGACAAACTGATTTAAATATTGATTTTCTTTGCAGTATCGTCTTGTCAGTTTTGAGCTGCCGAATAAAATGTTGTACTACCAGCATAGAAACCACTCCTTATGTAAGTAATAAGGGGTGTATAGTTTCATGTAATTAGCTTTTATATTTGTTCTTACTTGCTTATCAGATCCTCGCTAAAAATAGGGTTCTTTGAAGCTCATATTAGAGATCTTCATAAAATATTGAGTAACAGAGCATGATTCCTTGAAATAGATTTAATTGTAGGTAAAAGCTCAAATCGTCACAGACTTTGGGTTAAATGCTATACGTGCATATGTAAGTGTTAGTGTAGGATGTGCAGGAGTTCATCATCTCTGGATTTGTCAAAGTGAGTGGTCAATATTTCTGAGAATACCAAAGCAGTTATCCGTTAACAGTTGCAGTTTTGGTTTGTAGATACAAGCACTTTGCAATGGCTCTCAACAAGTAGAGGCGTGTGGCTTGGGCACCTTTTACATTGAGCAGGAGAATTTGATCTAGAGGATTGACTTTGTTTAAAATCAGTAGTAGCTATCGGTCTCATCATTAAAAATGTTTACTTACTCAAGAAATATATATATATATATATATAAATGTGTGCGTGTATATTCAAATATATACATTTGTAGGGCTTCACAACCCTGTGCACTTCATACGCTGATGCGTCAATTTTTAAATATCAGTTAAATACTTTTCTTTTGCAATTCACATTTTAAAGTTAAATAAATACAAAAATCGTGCACTTTCACACATAAATAGAATTTTACAATTAGAAGACATGTGATATGAAGATTTCAATTTACCTACACCAACAAAAATAGATGTACAACAAAACAGTACTATAAAAAATAGCTTTTTGCATTGAGATGTTTGAATCAATGTATGATAAATTAGAGAAACGTTAATTTGTAACTTTTAAAAATATATGTAGTAAGAAAAATAATTTTTTTTTTACTAAAGGCCCAGGAGGTTCAGAAAAAATATTTCTATACAACACATTAATTTAAAATTTCACTTGTCGCGAAATAAAACCTTCATCAATAGCATAGTCTGGTACAGCGTTAATATTACTTTTGAAAAGAATGACCGGTCAAAGAACATTTCCTTTACCATTCGACTTCAACGGTACAGAAAGTTCGTTCTTGGAACTTCAATCTAAAAAAAAAGTTAAGAGATGTACATTTTATCATAAGGGACAAGGCATCTATGATCCCAAAAAAGCCTTCGAAATAGTTGACAGAATATAACGTAATTAATATAAAACCAATATCTATTTCAATAATTGATTGTTAAAAAAAAAGAT